TTTGATATCGATTTTTATTTCTAAGTTAGAGTTTCTTTTTTAATATTTCAACCCCCTTTATTCCCCCATTTTTATTCGGATTTTTTTCAGAATCATTAGGCTTCACCCCTTATAGAGCTTGATTTTTACTAAAAATCTGATGTGTCCAACACATGACTTTCCTATCTAGTTATTATAGGCTTTTTCGGTTATTTTGTACAACCCATTGTAGCATCTCTGTAAATATTTAGAAATTAACTTAATATATACATTTTCCACATACATCTAACTCAATACATTTTTCTATATACACTCATTGCCAACGAAAATGCAAAAAAATTTAAATTTTATACTTTTCCTCCAATTTTTCTATTCCAGTCCATTTTAGAAAAATTATGTATAAAACAAAAATTATAGAGAATTATATCGCAAACAACTTTTATTTGAACAATTTTCTTAAAAATCAGAATTTTTCACATTTTGAAAAATTTCTCGAATACAGACCATTTTAGGAAAATTTTGTATGGAACAAAAATTATAGAGAATAATATAAGAAGTAACTGTTATTTAAATAATTTTCTTCTCCAAACGTAAATAACAGATATATTTCATAAAATATAAAAATGACCCCCTATAAAGTACCCCCCAGATGTTCCGACTTTGCCCAAAATCTAACCAGTTCACCTCAGGTCGGAAGAAAGCATAAGTTTAAAATTTAAGGTTTTTTCTTTATCCGTGTCTAAGTTTTCTTTAAAATTCAAAATTTATACTTTTTCTCAAATATATCGAATACAGTCCATTTTAGAGAAATTATGTATTGAACAAAAATTGTAGAAAATTATATCACAAATAACTTTTATTTGAACAATTTTCATGAAAATTTGATTTTTTTACCTTTTATCAAATTTCTCGAATACGGACCATTTTAGGAAAACTATGTATAACACAAAAATTATAGAGCATAATATAAGAAGTAACTTTTATTGGAAAACTTTTCTTCTTCAAACGTAAATAACAGATATATTTTATAAAATATAAATGACCCCCATAAAGTACCCCCCAGATGTTCTGCCTCTGCCCAGTTAGTTTAAATTAAACCAACTATAATTTGACAGTTATAAGTTAAACAAATTGTTGCCTCGCCTACTAGATATTTATTTGAAAGAAAATACTATGTTTTGATAGATACAAATTTATATGGCGTCTATATGAAATAAAAAAGTTATAGCCATAATCTCGTAAACGGTAGATGATTCCTAGACTTAATTTTTTTTTAATAAAGACCTTAAAAAGTACCCATATAATCTCCAAACCAAACTACTGTACGCTATCAAATAATAGAGATACGTCTGTCCAAAAAGCGTACCATTTTGGTTTTTCGCGATTATTCCTATAACTAAAAACAATTGATAAAATATAATAGCAGTTCTGAAATGGTAATAGAATCCTGAGAAACAGTGCCCATTTTATCGATTATGTAGCTTTTATAATAACCGAGATATCAATGTGGCACCAATTTGGGACACAGTGTATATTAGAAAAAAAAAACACAAATGTGCGATTTTACAACCTTTGCATCCTAGTATTTACAGCAACGATGTTGTTTATTATATATAAGTGGTTTTTTGCTAAAAAAAAAGTGAAACAATATTTACCTAAGTGCTATCAATATTTAGATACACCATAAAATCATTTTTTAAAATCATAAAAATTCTAGCAGACGAATAAAAAGATTATTGTGATGAAAAAACTGCTTTTAGTTTTTTGGGAACGTAATTTTAAATTATGGTGGGTGCGCACAACTTTTTTCCTATACTAGAACAAAATATTGGAGAAGGTGAGACATATTCATGATCAACACTGTTGTCTATGAATGAAAATTCCGACGGAAAGTAACAGAGTCAGCATAGGCGGCGTATCAAATACCAAATAATTATTTATTATTTATTAGGTATTTGTTAGTAAACTTTATTAAATTTGTTTGTCAATATCTTTATTTAAACAAAGATGATGCGTTAAATATACGTTTTTGATAGTTTTCCAGAAATGAATATATTTATTCCCTAATGACTTCGTTATCTGTGTTTAATGGTTTTAAAAACGTGTCATCTCCGTTCTTGGCAATTTTGTTGATCGTTACATTCATTTAGTTAGACAGACAAAAAAGTCCGTCCATGTGTGGATCAGGCAAAGAGTCAAAACCGCTAAATCAGTTAAAATCAGTTTTAACTCTGCAATAGAGAGTAAAATTTTGTAAGATGATACCCTAATATTTGGAGGCGATGATAAACGAATGTGTTTCAAGTAAATAAACGACAGACGGGTTACAGATTGAATATTGTCAGCACAGGCACCAAGACAGTTGAAAACTATTTTTGTATTTTTGTATTTTTGTATAAGTGCTCTTTTCTGATATACGAGTAGGTGTTCATGTTTGTGCCTTACAATTTGGTAGTGGTAGTGCATATTCGAGGAGTTATATTTATTGTGTATTATATTAGGTAGGTACTTTAAAAGTTTATTAAATAGTAAAATATTAGTGTCTTTATAAATTTAATAAAAACAATTTAATAGTAGAATTATATTGTTACAATAGTAATGAATTCAGAAGCGGGTCCAAGTGAAACCCAATTACGTCGGCGACAGCCCTTATCAAAGGATGAAAAGAACATTATATGGAAAATGTATGATGGGCTGAAACAGACACTTCCTACAAATGAAGCTGTAAACCGCAGTTCTGTTTTAACTGGAGTATCTCTTTCAAAAATTAAACGTATTGTACGCGAAAAGACAAAAAAGGCTCCTTAGAAGCCCCTAAAACGCATACCCGTAGTCGAAAATTGTTGAAATTGGACGATAACCAAAAACAAATCATTCGAAGAACTGTACATTCTTTTTTTTTTTCGAAAACAAAGCCTCAACACTTAAAGTTGTTCTTACGAAATTAAGAGAAAACGAAGAAATTCCATTAATAAGCCGTGAAATTTTATGGGGCCTAAAATTTCTTTTTGTCAAACGGTGTAGGAAATCAATTTTAATTAAGAGGTCAGATATAGTGTCCTGGCGACGGCGTTATTTACGAAATATTAAAGAGTTTAGAGCCGCTAAAAAAAAGATATACTATCTCGATGAGACGTGGGTGAATACTGGACACACGGTATCTAAGATATGGCAAGATACTTCTGTAACTAGTCATCGCCAAGCTTTTATAGAGGGATTATCCACAGGTTTGAAAGCACCATCAGATAAAAGACAGTGCCTAATTGTTACTCATATCGGAAGTGACAGTGGATTTTTGGAAAATTGCGCTTTTGTGTTTATATCGAAAAAACAGGAGAATATCACGAGGATATGAATGCGGAATGCTTTGAAAAATGGTTTACTGAAGTATTACAGCATGTAGAACGAAATTCAGTTATTGTACTAGATAACGCTTCTTATCACAGTCGACGAGTTGAACGCATTCTAATAATGTCCAGTAGGAAAGCGGATATATAAACCTGGCTGCGGGATATAGCAATAAAATTTACTGATGAGATGCTTAAAGTGGAATTAATGGACCTAATAAAGGAACACCGCCATAAATATATTCAATATGTTGTCGACACAATGGCTCGTGATCGTGGTATTACGGTACTAAGACTTCTCCCTTATCACTGCGAATTCAATCCTATTGAACTAATTTGGGCGCAAGTGAAAGGGTTTGTAGCTCGAGAAAATAAAACTTTTAAAATAGCCGACGTTCAAAGTTTATTAAAAACCGGTTTGAACGTATAAAACCTGAAGATTGGCAGAATGCTATTTCCCATGTAACTAAGGAAGAAAATAATATATGGCGCTTGGACGGTATGGTCGAAACAGTAGTTGAACCTTTAGGCATAACTTTAAGTTTCGACGATAAAGACGATTCCAGTGATAGTTCTGCAGAATCAATGGATTACGAAACTTCATAGAATTAGAATTCAAGTAAGTGATACCAAGCTTAATTTACATATTTTTATAATAAACAAAATACAATTATAAACATAGATGAATTATTATAACAAAAATAGATAACCAACTTACTTTCATCTAGTAATATTCACAAATACCCATTTAATTTACCAATATAATATTTCTGCGACACTGGAAGAGTGCATTTTGATATGATAACTATACCTTTTGTAGTTTTAAGGCGCACCTTCTTCAATATTTTGTTCTAGTATAACCCATTTAATTTTACAATACTGTTTCTACGCCACTGGCATAATATTTACATATTTTAACAATAATCAAAACAAAATTATAAACATAAATGATTGTTACTACAAAAATAGATAACCAACCTACTTTCATCTAATATTATTTACTAATACCGCATTTAATTTGCCAATAGTTTTTATACGCCACTGGCGTAATACATTTTGGCAATAAACATGCATTTATGACTAATTGGCACGTAATACCGATAACTTCTGCAGTTTTAAGCGTGTGATTCCATTCATTATGCTCTGGTATAGTATGATTGTTGTACGTGAACAGGGAGGAATCACTTTCTTCAATATTTTGTCCGAGTATAGTATATACTAGCTAGAACAATTTTATTTTAGACAATCACATTAATAGTTTAATGTTCATCATTTATTTAATAAGAAATGGAAAAAAAATAATTTCGATAATGTCACAGCTTCATAAAGTATTATTACAGTTTTGTAAGGTATTATTGGATCTTGGTAAGTTTGTAAGATATTCTAAAGACTAGACGCTGTTTGTAACAAATATTATTATAAGTCAAGAATAAAAAACAGATCTCACTGAACTTTTTCTCTTTTAAAAATTGTATCGATTATGAAAGAAAATAATAAGTAACATGTTTATTTTTATTATGAAAGTATGTTATCCACGTGTTCAAAGTACCTATGCGATATTAGCAATTAATACCTGAAAAACATGTAGGTATAGGTAAACACAATCTCTAAACATAATTTCTAAATAATAAGCTACTAGTATTACAGTTTAAATTATTATCAATAATTACATACCTGCAAATATTTTACACGAAACTATTAAAATTCGAACCATCATTGTCATTACAAACTTTAAATGCACAATGCACACAATATACTACTTTGGCTTTTAACGAACATGCACTTTTCAACTATAGTAAAATAACATAAAATTATCGATTTAAACATGTATAATTTTATAATAAGGCCAGTTTGTTTATCTTAATAGCCGTGTTTTGCTATCAATGTATAGACAGTGTCAATTAATAGTTTTATTAGTTTATTACTGTTTACGTCTTTATATGATGTCCAGGGATATTTTAACAAAATAATATAGCGTAATGTAGATAAATTAAAATACTATCCGATTGACATTTATTTACGGAATTAGAAATAAATCAAATTAATGAAATAAAAAATTAAATATGAGGTAAAATGAATACAATAGAAGTTAAAATTATACAATATCTCGTAAAGTGTTGGTAAGGTGTTATCAAAGCTTTGTAAGGTATTATAAAAGATTATCTAAGTTTCGCAAGATATTGTCAGCTGAAAGAATTGTTCAGGAAATGAAGAAAGACAGGGTGATAGAACCTTCTACCTTCTCGTAAAGTGTTGGTAAGGTGTTATCAAAGCTTTGTAAGGTATTATAAAAGATTATCTAAGTTTCGCAAGATATTGTCAGCTGAAAGGATTGTTCAGGAAATTAAGAAAGACAGGGTGATAGAACGTTCTACCAGCCCATGGGTCTCTCCAGTAGTCCTGGTTCAAAAAAAGGATGGAACTACGAGGTTCTGTGTGGATTACCGTCAGTTGGACAATGTTACCAAGAAAGACAGTTACCCTCTGCCTCGTATCGACGATACCTTGGACACATTGGCCGAAAGTAAACTATTCTCTACTTTAGACTTGAAGTTTGGATACTGCCAGGTGGAAATGGACTCAGTAGACAAAGAACAGACAGCTTTTACCACCGGATCTGGATTGTGGCAATGAAATGTTATGCCATTTGGATTATGTAATGCCACCGCGACATTAAAAAGACTTATGGAAAATGTATTGAGCGGGTTATCCTGGAAAACATGCCTGGTGTATTTAGACGACATCATAGTCTTGGGGAAGACATTTGATGAACATCTAAAAAAAATAAATGATGTTTTTAAAAGACTTTAAGCTGCCCAACTGATGCTAAACCCCAAGAAGTGCCAACTATTTCAAAATAAAGTTAATTACCTGGGTCATGTAGTCAGCAAGGATGGCGTGGCTGTAGATAAAGAAAAAGTCGTCTATCAAACAGTGGCCACAATCAAAGGATAAACACCAAATAAGAAGTTTTCTTGGGCTTTGTACGTACTACCGAAGATTCAAAAAGAAGTTTGCAGATATTGCTAAACCACTAACGCGACTCACAGAAGAAGCAAGAGAATTCTGCTGGGACGGAGACTGCCAAACTGCCTTCGAAACTTTAAAGAAGCATTTACCAACAGCGCCAATATTAGGCTACCCACTACCAGAGGGAGAATTTATCCTGGATAATGATGCCAGTACTTTAAGAATTGGAGGAGTGCTTTCACAGATTCAAGAGGGAAAAGAAAGAGTACTGGGTTATTTTAGTAAAGTGCTCTCGAAACCTGAACGAAATTACTGCGTCACGAGAAGAGAACTCCTGGCAGCTGTTAAATGCGTGGAACACTTCTATCAATACCTATATGGAAGGAAATTCTTAATCCGTACCGATCATGCCGCTCTTAAGTGGTTGATGCAGTTCAAAAACCCGATGGGTCAAATCGCCAGATGGATTGAACGACTTCAAGAGTACGACTTTAAGATCGAACAAAGAGCCGGAATAAGCCACAGAAATGCCGATTTTTTTTCTAGAAGACCGTGTCCAACAGAGTGCTCCCACTGCAAAAAAGCGGAATCCAAAGAAAGTGGACTACTAAGAACAACTGTAGTCAACGATAAGTGAGCTCCTGCTAAAATTAGGGAAGAACAAGCGATCGATACCGTTTTAAAGAAGATGCGACAATGGAAAGAGGAAAATCGTCGACCTACTTGGCAAGAAGTATCTAATCTCTCTCCAGTACTTAAGTCGTATTTGGCGCGGTGGGACTCCTTTATCCTGGAAGATGGCTTATTAAAGTGAGTACTTGAAAATGATGATAGTTCCGAGAACAGAAGACAGTTGGTATTTTCAAGGAGTAGAGTAGCCGAAGTACTTCGTCAGTTACACGAGAGTCCATCAGGAGGACATCTCGGTGTTAGGAAAACCCTTCAGAGAGTTCGGGAAAGGTTTTATTGGATGAACAGTTCCTATGATGTAAAGGACTGGTGTAAGAAATGTACCACCTGTGCTGAGTGATGAATCTCAACGAAAAAGGAAGGCTCCTATGAAGCAATACAATGTTCAAAGAAGAGGTAAATAAAACAAGGGTGGTCCTTAAGATCTCACACTCTTGTGAGATCTTAAGGACCACCCTTGTTTTATTTACCTCTTTTTTGAACATATAACTCACACAGGCTACCACCTTCAACTTTAATACAATGTTGTTAGCCCATTTGAGAGGATCGCTTTAGATATTGCTGGACCATTCCCTGCGACCGAGAATGGTGATAAATACAAGATGGTGGCTATGGATTATTTCACGAAGTGGGTGGAAGTCTATGCCATTCCAAATCAAGAGGCTGCAACTATTGCAGACGTATTGATCAAAGAGTTTATCTGTCCATTTGGAGTGAACTTGGAAATCCACAGTGACCAAGGCAGAAATTTTGAAAGCCAAATCTTCCGTGGAATCTGTGACAGACTAGGCATAAAGAAAACCAGAACCACAGCATTGCACCCACAATCCGATGAAATGGTAGAACGAATGAATAAGACCATTGGTAAATATCTGTCAAAAGTGGTTTCAAACCATCAGCGAGATTGGGATCAGTATCTTTCGCTCTTTGCAATGGCTTATAGATCCGCTATCAATGAATTAACAGGCCAAACACCAGCAAAGGTCCTGTTTGGGCGTGAGATGAGACTACCGTGCGACCTCGAGTTTGGCTGCCGACCTGGAGAAGATGTAGCTGGTGAAGATTATGTGAAGTTACGAAGAAAAATGGACGATATGCACGAATTGGTCTGCTCGCATCTTCAAATCGCAATTGACAGAATGAAGAAGCAATACGATTCCCAAGCCACAAAAGGATGTTTCAAGGAAGGCGACAAAGTCTTGGGAAGGCCCGTACCTCATCAAGAAAAAAATCAATGATGTCATTTACCATATAAGTAAGATCCCGAACGGTAAACCAAAGGTAGTGCATCAAAACTGGCTAGCGCCATTTGAGGGTGACCATCAAGAGGAAAAAGAAGTAAACCAGCTCTAAGAAACACCTGATCTTGTCATTGAAGAATTTATGGATGCATATGGAGGTACCGGAAAAGCAAGACATGGTGTTACAACCGAGCAACAACAAGACCTGCTCACGGTTCCAAAAGATTACTCGCTGGTCCATAGCACTTCCGCCAACATCTACGACCCTCGAGGTCTAGCATCTGTATTTCGGAAGAAGTTTGGTCGATTGCCAGAACTTCAAGATTACTTACCAGCCCCTGGAAAAGCATTAAAACTTCAAGATGGATCGCGTTATCTTTTCTATTCGGTAACAAAGAACACTTTCCGAGATCGATCCACCTATCATGATGTATGGGAAGCATTAGTCAGTCTGAGGGAGCATGTACTGGAGTCAAAGATAGAGAGCAACCAGCTGAATTGGAGGATCATTAGAAACATGGTGGAAGTAATCTTTTAAGATACTCACGTTAAAATACTGATCTGCAGCCATTCTCCTAGCGTTCAGGCTTTAACGAAGACTGTCCCTTGTTACTTCCATGCAACTGGAAATTGTAATAGATGATCCAGTTGCAAATACAACCATTCAGTTTTAGTTCCAGGAGGAACTATTTCTTAAGGAGGGGGCAATGTCATGAAATTCCTATGCCGTCTCTGTCTAAGCAACGACCTTTAGCTTGCCACCCGACTCATGCTCGAAACGACGGAATCTTCTAGGAATACCGCTGACGCTCGAGAAACGGTTAGAACGAGCGGAGCGTACCGTTGAGTCCGAGATGGAATTTTCGGGAGCGTCTAGAGACTTCTCGTAGCAGAGTTGGACTTGGTATAAATAGTTAACTTATCGGCGATCAGTTTAATTTAGTAGACAGTATTGGACTGGAAAAGTTAAATTGTAATAAATAAATTAGTGCCTAAGTATTATATAAATTAATTAGTACGCCACAAATAAATTGTAAATAGTATGTTTAAAATAAATAAACTATAAAAAAATTAGACTATCGTCACAATATTTTTGTAAGACATCATTAATATTTTGTAAAAGACTAGGTATTAAAACTTTGTAGGTATCATTTAATAAGCTTTGTAAGATATTATAAACGTTTTCTACACACAAGGAAATGTGTCTAAGTATGTAATCAAGAATATTTGTTTAAAATTCAGCACAACTCCAATTCTTAATTAAAGTAAAAATATTGCCGTGTTCAATTATAATTTTATAATTTTCAAAATCAAGAATTTTTTTAGCTTTCGTTTATAAATTAAACCGGAAGGGTGTTTAAATTAAGTATGGTGTAATGGACGGCACAGATATAGGTACTTTTTAAATTGACACCCTATATATAACCTATATAAGTACTTTCTAGTGTTAAATCGTTTTTAAAATTATTAAAGTTGTACATATGAAAGCACAAGTATGTCCTACCTACGAAAAACCGGGAATTTTAATTATAAAATCTAATGAGTAAACCACTATAAGAGATTAAAGGAAAAAGTTTAAACGAAAATTAATTTAAATGTAACCTCAACAAGGATTAATGAAATATGTAAAATATTATTGAAAAAAAAAATAATATTGTTGAATTTATTAACTATTTTAAAAATATTGTATTGTATTAAAGTTTTGAGAGAATTAGTGATATAATTTTATTAATTAAATTGTTTAAGTCTAGGATTTCATATTGTTACGCCAGTTTTTGGTATCTCAATTTATTTCTACTAAACTTTTACAATAACTATACAACTGATAACATTAACGTTTAT